TGTATATGACATCACTTCCGCATTCTTGTGTCACTCTCCAGCTTCAGATGCTGGAGAGAAGCTGATGGAGCAGATCTGTGCTTCATCAGCTTCTTCAGGGGGGTCCTAGGTGACATTAGGGGTCTTGGAGACCCCTGATGTCTCCATAAAGAGGACCTGTCACATATTTTGCTATCACATAAGGGGGTTTTCTAACCCCCCTATGTGATAGCAATAAAGTTTCCCCCCCAAAAATGTAAAGTTACAAATAAAAAAGAATTACATTTTTTTTAAAGTCCCCCCCATACATACACACATGCAAACAGGCGTTGGGTGCGCATACGTGTGACGACGATTTCGCCCATTACGCCGCACATGTTACATATCGCCGTGAACGTCGGAATTAAAGCAATAATTGTAGGGCCATCAATCACCGATAACACTAAACTGATGAGCGGTTAAAGCTTTTAAAGCGTCGCCTATGGTAAATTTTGGGCATGGTAATTTTTTGCGATTTCCCGGGTGCGCGCAATTTTAAAGCATGACATGTTTGGTGTCTATTTACCCGACGTGACCCCGCTTTTTATATTTTACCAAAAATATGGGTAATAAATGGGTGTGGTTACTGGGGGTGTGGCCACTAAAGGGTGTGGCCACTGAGGGGTGTGGTCACCGAGGGGCGCTGTAAAGCTTTCTCGCACAGGGCGCCTAAAGGCCTAAGGCCGGCCCTGACTACGCCGACCACCAATGTAAGGAGGGACTACGCCGACCACCAATGTAAGGGGGCACTACGCCGACCACCAATGTAAGGGGGCACTACACCGACCACCAATGTAAGGAGGCACTACACCGACCACCAATGTAAGGAGGCACTACACTGAACACCAATGTAAGGGGACACGACAATTTTTACAGCGTGCACTTTTTTTCTGGCAAATATTTATTCATTTTGGTTTCATTTTATCAATACTGTAAATATTGTTTTTAGCTAGAGAAGCCGTAGGTGCCAAATACTTCAAGTATACCACAATTCTTGTTGTTTTATGTACTGTATCCATATATCAACAATCTTCTGTTTACACTAAAGTCCTATGAGCTGTAGTTATAATTATCATTAGAAGGAGTTTTCCTATGACCTGAAAGTTATTATAATGGTTCTTTCCTGTTATAAAAAAGGTTGACAAAGCTTTTTTAGAACAGAAGATGAACCAAATATCGTAGCAGGTCTTTTAAGCTGCACTGAACTGGCTTGGGTATTGTCATGCCTATACTGGGCAATATTTCCACTGGCCAGGTAGACAAGTGAAGCATAATAAATAAGATAATACAGTGTTAACCACATACCGATTGTATGTATTTCAGCCACACAATTACTTTTGTGAGCAACATGGACTACCCGGACACTAAATTTTCACTTACCGTGGGATCGGACGTGACGGCTCAGGTTGCTGCTATTTCGGAAAACCTTCGAGCAAATGTTGCACTGGAAGACACGTTTGTGATCGCCGAGCTGACGCACAAATTTCCTCCTCATGTGCCGTGTGCTAGAAAGCAGCATCCCCCTTTTTAGGGAATTGCTCCCCTGGTGGAATGCAAACCTGCAAGACATATCAATTATCATATAGATCAGCTAAAGATTAGGAGCTCTTTAAATGGACAGCCCATAGGTGCCCATTATATCATTCCAAAAAGGTGTATTGTCAGTAAGTGGATACTATTCATATTGCAGTTTACCTTAAAGCCCAGCTCCAGCTTGGACACAACATGTAAAAAATAAAAATAAAAAAGAAGACTCCCCAGTCTTGGGAAAAACCAAAACACACCCCTCTCCTTCTGTCACTCTCTCCTGTCCCCTAAGGGGGCCTCTCTCTGTCTCACTCTCTCCTGTCACCCAAGGGGTGTCTCTCTGTCTCACTCTCTGTAACCCAAGGGGTCTCTCTCCGTCTCACTCTCTCCTGTCCCCCAAGGGGTCTCTCCCCGTCTCACTCTCTCCTGTCCCCCAAGGGGTCTCTCCGTCTCACTCTCTCCTGTCCCCCAAGGGGTCTCTCTCTGCCTCTCTCTCTCCTGTCCCCCAAGGGGGTCTCTCTCTGTCTCCCTCTCTCCTGTCCCCCAAGGGGTCTCTCTCTGCCTCTCTCTCTCCTGTCCCCCAAGGGGGTCTCTCTCTGTCTCCCTCTCTCCTGTCCCCCAAGGGGTCTCTCTCTGCCTCTCTCTCTCCTGTCCCCCAAGGGGGTCTCTCTCTGTCTCCCTCTCTCCTGTCCCCCAAGGGGTCTCTCTCTGCCTCTCTCTCTCCTGTCCCCCAAGGGGGTCTCTCTCTGTCTCCCTCTCTCCTGTCCCCCAAGGGGTCTCTCTCTGCCTCTCTCTCTCCTGTCCCCCAAGGGGGTCTCTCTCTGTCTCCCTCTCTCCTGTCCCCCAAGGGGTCTCTCTCTGCCTCTCTCTCTCCTGTCCCCCAAGGGGGTCTCTCTCTGTCTCCCTCTCTCCTGTCCCCCAAGGGGTCTCTCTCTGCCTCTCTCTCTCCTGTCCCCCAAGGGGGTCTCTCTCTGTCTCCCTCTCTCCTGTCCCCCAAGGGGTCTCTCTCTGCCTCTCTCTCTCCTGTCCCCCAAGGGGGTCTCTCTCTGTCTCCCTCTCTCCTGTCCCCCAAGGGGTCTCTCTCTGCCTCTCTCTCTCCTGTCCCCCAAGGGGGTCTCTCTCTGTCTCCCTCTCTCCTGTCCCCCAAGGGGTCTCTCTCTGCCTCTCTCTCTCCTGTCCCCCAAGGGGGTCTCTCTCTGTCTCCCTCTCTCCTGTCCCCCAAGGGGTCTCTCTCTGCCTCTCTCTCTCCTGTCCCCCAAGGGGGTCTCTCTCTGTCTCCCTCTCTCCTGTCCCCCAAGGGGTCTCTCTCTGCCTCTCTCTCTCCTGTCCCCCAAGGGGGTCTCTCTCTGTCTCCCTCTCTCCTGTCCCCCAAGGGGTCTCTCTCTGCCTCTCTCTCTCCTGTCCCCCAAGGGGGTCTCTCTCTGTCTCCCTCTCTCCTGTCCCCCAAGGGGTCTCTCTCTGCCTCTCTCTCTCCTGTCCCCCAAGGGGGTCTCTCTCTGTCTCCCTCTCTCCTGTCCCCCAAGGGGTCTCTCTCTGCCTCTCTCTCTCCTGTCCCCCAAGGGGGTCTCTCTCTGTCTCCCTCTCTCCTGTCCCCCAAGGGGTCTCTCTCTGCCTCTCTCTCTCCTGTCCCCCAAGGGGGTCTCTCTCTGTCTCCCTCTCTCCTGTCCCCCAAGGGGTCTCTCTCTGCCTCTCTCTCTCCTGTCCCCCAAGGGGGTCTCTCTCTGTCTCCCTCTCTCCTGTCCCCCAAGGGGTCTCTCTCTGCCTCTCTCTCTCCTGTCCCCCAAGGGGGTCTCTCTCTGTCTCCCTCTCTCCTGTCCCCCAAGGGGTCTCTCTCTGCCTCTCTCTCTCCTGTCCCCCAAGGGGGTCTCTCTCTGTCTCCCTCTCTCCTGTCCCCCAAGGGGTCTCTCTCTGCCTCTCTCTCTCCTGTCCCCCAAGGGGGTCTCTCTCTGTCTCCCTCTCTCCTGTCCCCCAAGGGGTCTCTCTCTGCCTCTCTCTCTCCTGTCCCCCAAGGGGGTCTCTCTCTGTCTCCCTCTCTCCTGTCCCCCAAGGGGTCTCTCTCTGCCTCTCTCTCTCCTGTCCCCCAAGGGGGTCTCTCTCTGTCTCCCTCTCTCCTGTCCCCCAAGGGGTCTCTCTCTGCCTCTCTCTCTCCTGTCCCCCAAGGGGGTCTCTCTCTGTCTCCCTCTCTCCTGTCCCCCAAGGGGTCTCTCTCTGCCTCTCTCTCTCCTGTCCCCCAAGGGGGTCTCTCTCTGTCTCCCTCTCTCCTGTCCCCCAAGGGGTCTCTCTCTGCCTCTCTCTCTCCTGTCCCCCAAGGGGTCTCTCTGTCTCACTCTCTCCTGTCACCCAAGGGGGTCTCTCTCTGTCTCCCTCTCTCCTGTTCCCCAAGGGGTCTCTCTCTGTCTCACTCTCTCCTGTCCCCCAAGGGGTCTCTCTCTCTGTCTCGCTCTCTCATCCTAATTCCCGTGAACCCACCCAAAGAAACAAAAAAAAAGGGACTTATCACATCACATGATGCCTGGAAAAGGGAAGTATGCTAATTTGCTCAGTGCAGGGCTCCCAACCCACCGTGTTATTTCAAGGTGGGTTGGCAGCAAACAGGCGCGGAGGGACCAGAGCCCAGAGTTTGGCTTTAAAGTGACAAACTCTCAGATCAGCATAAACCAATACTGTAATGTGTGCCTTACTGTAATCCATGGTAGTTTCCCTTCTCTTTGCTGCTCTTCCTTTTAAATCTGTATCTCTTCTCATGCTGGGCAGAGCTTCTGTTTTGCAGCAGACTGCCTTGTCTCTGGAATGGATACATGGTGTCTGTGTGCAGGTTCACAACCTGAGCCAGCACTACAGGAAGAGGCACTCAGCTGCAAAAGGGAAGTTCTCCCCCAGCATGAGAAGACATGAGGATTTAAAAGGAAGAGCAGCAAAGAGAAGGGAAACAACCATGGATTACAGTAAGGCGCACATTACAGTATTGTTTTATGTTAAAAAATCTGAGGGTTTAATGTCACTTGAAGGCTGGGTTTACACCTGGGTGTTTTCCAGCGCTGAAAAACGCTCAGCAAGTGAAATCCTATTGAGTGCTATGGGCATGGTTCCCACCTGGGCGTATTTCAACACGATTTGTCGTGCTGAAAAACGCCCTATGCCCGAAATAGTACAGGAGCTTCTTTGGGGCGTATTTCAGCGCGTTATACATTGGTATTCCCGAGTGTGGCTAGGGGTTAACAAAGCGGTAACCACCAGCCACACTCTTGAATACAGCGTAGGTCTTACCTTGTCCGCGATCCACGCTGTGTCCTCCGGCCGCTGCCATCTTCTGTCCCTTGCGAGCGTCCACGTCGCAGGGGTGCGGAACCGGCGGGAA